ACCAAACCATCTTACCACTCACTGCAAGGAATAGCAACGAAAGACAGGCATGGCATGAGAAAGGGGAAAGTCACTGCCCTCCCAGCAGGAGCCAAGGCTGGGAAAAGCAGAGAGATGCTGGCTGCTCAGTACCAGTCCCAGGCTCTTGCTAAAGAAAGTCACTAGCAGCCAGCTGCTCTGTGCCTCTGCAGCTTCCCCACCCCACCCTATACGCTGTAAGGACCACCACACCAGACCACCCATTCTACTGATGCATCGGGAAATTACCAACTCCTTTGGCCTCCGGCTGTGATCCACCATGTCTAACAGGGGATATGCCTTCCTCAGTGCCTCTATGGTGACCACATGCCTGAACCCCAGGCTATTTCAGACCATCAAGGAAAGTTGTGAAGACTGTTTTTTTTAAGTGACTGGTTTTTTTAAGTTACTTGCAAAAGCATCTACAGGATTAAGGATTACAAGTCCTAGTAGCAGAGCAGTTATTTAACCTGGTAATAACCTCATGGCTTTCAGTTAAACTCTATGCTGCGGTTCAACCTAAAGGCGGCCCTAAAGGTTAGAAAAAAAACCCCAGACTGGGATGATTTAGTTTGTGATCAGCAATCCCTGGAATTAGGCAAAGAGCAGAAGTCACTCCAAGACAGAATGGATGTGCTTTGGGAGACCTTTCAGGTCAGGGTTCTCATACTGATGCAGTGCAGGGGGCTGGTCAGGCTTCTTGGCTAGCAGCAGAATCAGTGAAGCTCTGGTCAGCTTAGCTACTGAAAAGAAAATGGTCTGTCCTGATAAAACAATGCAAGTGAAGGACGAGTTGCGTTTTGTTGCAAACACTTTTGCCCTTAGCTCACCCTACTGGCCCTGGGGAAGGAGAGACAGGCCAAAGTTTTGTACCAAATGAAATCAAATGTTAAGTACAAGGTGTGACTGTGTGTGTGCACCGGCTGAGGCGTCACAAACCCTGCAGGCCGTTCTTACCCCCTTGCAGACACGGGATATGTCAGACCTGCTGTGCCCTCGCTTCAGCCAGGCAACATGCATGTGGGATTGTCATTTAGACCATGCCCCTGTACTGGGACGCTCTGGTTCTAATGATATTTGAGTTCCTTCAATTGCTGTCAGATTCCTGGGGAAAACCTTAGCCGTGGAAGAGCTGGGAGTGGTCTCTAATGCGCTTTGCATCAGAAAGAACGGGAAGGAGCACAATTTTGTCTCAAAAGTGAGACAGGCCCAAAGCTGATGGAGTCCTCATGGTGACACCTGACCAGCAGGAACAGCAACGCAGCTCACGGCAGAGGTAATCAGCATGAGAAGCCAAACGCAGACCAAGGACATCCAGGAGGTGACCAAGATGGAGCTCAACAGTAAGTGTCTGCATTTGAGCCTCTCCGTGAGGGAGGGCCCCCCGAGGATGAGACCAGTGGCCTTTCTGTTTCCTCACGCTCCCACAAGCCGACTGAGCGAGTGCCAGGGGTATGGGCAGGGCAGGAGAAGCAGCAGCGTTCAGCTGGGAAGCGGTATCGGGATGCGCAGAGCACCAGGAGGCACAGGCAGCAAAGGATACTTCTGGGCGTTCTCCTCCACGGGCCCCTGCCCGGCCACCAGCATGCACTTCTGGTGGAACTGGCTGAAGAGCCGCAGCGGGCTGTGGGACAGGATCACCTGCTCCGGAGACACCTGCGAGAGGGAGGAGAAGCTGCCGGGGGACCCGCGGGGAAGATGTCCCCCCTTCTCCCTGCGGCCGGCCGGCACCCCCTCCCCGTGCTGCCCCTGCCGCCCTCCGTCCCCTCAGGCCGAGGCGGGA